CGCCCCGCCACAATTTTGTTTCTTTTGCAGGCTCTGAAAGTGAGTGACCATTATCCAGTGGAGGTTGAGTTGAAGTCCATAGTTGAGACAGATGAAACAAATGGTAAGCAGGATATTTATACATATCCAAGGCTTATGTACCATAATACTACAAGACCTGTTAAAATTGTGAAGTCAGTTTTTCATTCTTATTAAGAAATGTTTATTTTTTTAAATCTCCCCCAAAAATGTAAAAAGACATTTGTTAGAAAGATATGCTTATGTTGAATATATGCAGATTGTGTTCAGAGAGTGAGTTCAAAATCAACTGGATGCAGAATTTGTTTTTTTCCTGACATGTTCAAAGTGTGATATGAACTTTCTGCTCAAAGAAAATATTTTATACATGCAAACATGTTTACAGCTTGTCCTGCGGAGAACAAATTAATTGCAGCCAAAAAGCCGAAAGAAAAAAACCCCGCCTAGCAATTCTTTGTGGGGGCCGTCTCTGAGGAGCACAAGAAGAAGCACCCAGGAGCCAAAGTAATATTACCAGAGGTTTCCAAAATGGGCTCAAAAAAATGGAAGTCCATGTCACCTGAGGAGAAGGCAAAGTTTGAAGAGATGGCCAAGAATGACAAGCTCCGGTATGACCAGGAGATGAAGTCCTATGTACCACCTGCAGGTGCCGAGAAGGGCAAGAAGAAGAAGAAGGACCCCAACGCGCCCAAAGGGCCACCTTCTGTTTTCTTCATCTTCACCTCTGAACACCGTGAAAAGATCAAGGCAGATAACCCGGGGATCTCCAACCCTGACATCTCCAAGAAGTTTAGTGAGATGTGGAAAAAGATGAGTACCACAGACAAGGGCCCCTATGAGGCCAAGTACGCCGAACTGAAGGAAAAATATGAGATGGAAGTTGCTGCCTACAGACCCAAAGGCGACTCCTGGAAGAGTGGCCTAGGCAGGCCCGCCGCCAAGAAGGCGGAACCAGCTGACGACGACGACGATGAGGATGAAGATGAGGAGGATGAAGACAAGGAGGATGAAGATAATGAAGACGGGGATGAAAATGATATTGACGGGAAGATGACTAAGTTGTTTCTGTGTTTGAGGATGTGAAGTTTGTGATGCGTTTGTTTATGTTTGTTTTTGTTTTCGGGTTGGACGAGTTCAGCAGTATAACCTGCCATCCCTGTCGGTCGACCTCAGTTGAGCTGTACTCTTTTTCTAATTCAGGGATTTAGTTTTTGTCACTTAGTCCCCTTTAAGATTTATATTTTAAAATTTTCTACTGTAATGAAATTGTATATACTGTATTACCCATTAAAAAAAAAAAGCTGACTGTGAATGTGAAGCTATGCTTTTAACATGGCACACTTGCAGTGGAGATATCATCTGAATTTCAGGAGCGGGACCACTCCTCCTTTACACCCCCTCTGGCCTCAGGCTATAAAAGCGCCCCTTCTCCAATACCTGCTGTTCTCATTTTCATGCCCCACCCTTCCCCCCCAATTTTCCCTCTCTTCCTTTCCTTCATTAATTTCTCGTTAGTACATGGGGATCTGCCCGGCCCAAGAGCCGTCGCCAGTCCCCTTCGAGGCCTTCCCCAAACCGCAGCACCATTTCACACTTCCTCCTTCAAAGACTGTATAGATGAAAGACAGAAGCTGTGCCACTGTGACACTATTGCCTACCACTTTCACCATAGTCACAAGTACGCAGTAGATCTTAACATGAAATCGAGTGATCTAGTGTAGCTTTTTCACATTAATGGAGAACATAATTTACAAAATAAACATATTGTATTCAGTGAAACTTGAAACTACCAATTGAGGCCATGAACTCATTAAAGTATTTACTAAGGTCAAAAAGGAAAAGCAGTGAGCGCTTTCCTGTATAATCCTATACAATCACTACTCTTTCTGCCGCCCCCTGCTGGCTATTAGAATACTCCAGGCATGTCTGCACTGGCTTCACTTTTCAGACTGAAGCAACATCTTTTATATACGTACTTTGAGAGCAGTTTCTATTGCTAAATGAGAAGTATTAATGAGTGGAAAAAATGCTACAAGCATGTATGTGCCTTTTTGTTTAATCTGTATGTAACCACAACACTTCAGTTGTCTCTTCAGTCCTAAAGTGCTGTTGTTTAATTTAATAAAACCAGAAACAGATTAAACATTTTAATGGCATTTCAAATAAAGCGTCTTCACAACTGTTAGTTTAAACACAGCCTGATAATTGAGCTTTAAGTGATTTCTTACCATTTAACAACAAAAAAAAAAAAAAAAAAGGAACAAATAATAACAAGCATTAATTAAAAACAAAAAACTTTATTGGCATCTCCCGCTTTACAAGATAACAAAACTCATGGACTTGGGCTGGTTTGTGTTTGTTAGTAATTTCATATGGACACAAAATGCAGTGGACATTAGTTTTACAGTCCTTCTACATGTTAAGCTGCAGGCCTTCATTTCTATAACTAGATTTAAAGATATTGGTCAATATACGCGGATCAGCCACAACATTAGAACAGGATGTCATCGCCTACCTAAACATTGGTGCATGGCAGCAGCCTCCTCTAGCAGGACAATGAACTATACACAAAGCAAAAACTGCTTAAGAAACATGAAGGTGTTGGCCTGGCCTCCAAAAATACCCAGACCTCAATCTAATCAGGCTCGATGGGCAGAAAGAGCCCAAAGAGATCCACTGCCAACGCTTCCACACAATAATGATTTGTGGCTGATCTGTATGTATGAGCGAAACATCACAGTTGGAGGGACATTGTCCTTGAAAACCTAACATCGTTAAATTTATTCCCTGTACTACTCCACTAAAGGTTGAGCACCCGAGCAGGTTTTGAGTTTGATGCGGTTTATTTTTTAACGAGCAAAACAAATTGTAGTCTTTCAGCAAAAAGACGAAGGAAGCGAGAACAGGATCAAACAAAAATCAGCAGCTCAGGGTTTTACTTCTTCCCAGATTTCTTGATGCCACCTCCAGCTGAAAGAGAGAGAAAGCAAACAAAAAGATTGGGTGTTAGAAAGCATCTAATTAAAACTGCAGCCACAACTGTGACCAGTTTGAAAATATATTGATGACTGAAAGACTTTAAAATTAGAGGTTTTCTCAAACAATAACATAAATTTACTTTATTTTTTCTAAAAGAAGAGATCACTGCATAAAGGCATGCATGCTTATAAAAAGTCTGAAATCAAAACAAAATAGCATAAACAAAGTATAAAATATTTGAATTTCAAAGGAGACGCAAACATCAGAGAGACATGAGGTCTACTTTGGACTAAATTTGCTGAAAGTTTGGGGTTTGTTTCAGTTTCCTGACCTGCAGAGAAAGTACAAGCTGTACAGTGAAACACCAGGGCTAACCTGAGGCTTTCACTGTAGCCATGGTAAGAAATGTCCAAATTCGGATCTCAAGGTTAAGCTACCAAGTTGACAAACATCTGAAAGCAGTCTATGGACAGAAATAAGAAAATTGCAAAAAATGAACCCTGAAAACTGAAATGGCTATAGAAACTGGCAGATCACCTGAATCCTGAAGGTGACAGCTCAGCACTCTGCTGAAGTCACTGTATTCCTGAACTCTCACTGTGTGCTGGTAACGTATCATTTATAGAAACACCACAGCTGGGTTGCAACATCATGATGTGTATGTTTGGAAATATGTAAGGTTTGTCATTATGAAACAAAATTAATAAATTCAACCTGATCTGGATTTTTTCTGTTTCTATAAACGTGGGATGGTCTGGTGATTGAATGTTGGGTGGATATAGATACAAAGGTTTTATAGTGTGTGGGTTTTCTTGGTTTGTTTTTTGTGCGTGGGACTGGGGCTGGAGGTTTTCAGGTATTATTGGTATTATTCATGTATTATATTACTCCACTTGTAACTTGTGCTTTGAGTATGTATTTTGCATTTTATCACTCCTGTGTGCACCTGATCACGGAGCAGTGTAGCAGTAGTTGCGGGAGTACATAAATCTGGTGCATTTCTTCACTTCTTGTTTTTGTGAATAGTTCTTTACAAATACAAACTAAAAATATAAACACAGCTCTTACTTAAAGGTCCTTTTCCTGATGCTTTGGCTTTCAACGCATCCAGGGCCTTCTGTTCTTCCTTCTGCTTCTGCTTGAAGGCTACATCATCCTACGGAGACACATACAATTTAAAATCTTTCTACGCTTCTGTCTTATGCTCAGCTCATTCCAAGCCACAGCTGACATTTACCTCTGAATATTTCTTCCCTTCAGTCAAATAACAAAAATTAATATTTCATCTGATTTCCATTTATCAGATTCTCAGCTGACACCTGAAGACATCGCACTGGGTTGTGTAACACAATGACATGATTTGATTTGATTTTGTTATCAACAAGTTAAGGAATACAATTTTATCACCAGTTCTAATTTTCAATGGGCATTAATACAGGTTACTAAAGCAGAATTAAATGACAAAGTAGATCACAAAAAACAGAAAGGGTTAGCGAAATGATCCATACATCAAAGTTTATGTATCAAATTATCTGTGAAAACAGCTTTACTTTAAAAAATAAACAAAAACGAAATGTATAAAATATTGCAATGATGCAATGTAAATGTCTTCTTATCCATGTTATCTTGATTACAAAGGGATGCAAATGATTTAGAGGCTTGATATTAAATGTTTTACACAGTCTATGGTGAGGGGGGAAAAGAGCCAGATACATACGTCATCCATGTCCTTGTTCTGTTTCTTGGGAGCCTTCAGTGGTTTCTTTTTACCTCCTGAGAAATAAAATTTACATAGATACATAAATACAGTGACAGCAAAATGAAACTTAGAACTATAAAAGTAAATTAATAAATAATACAATAAGTAGATACAAAATATGAAAACCTAAGCTAGGCAAACGTATTTAAAGAACAGATCCACAAAGTAAAAGTATAAGTAAAAGACACTACAATATCTGAACGTTTCTCTTTAAAATAAATTGACTAAGTTTAGACAATCTTCATTACCTTGTTATGAAAATAAAATAGAAAATATAACCAAATCTACAATATCTAATAAACAATAGTCAGTGAATAAAAATGAAATATACGAAGGAATATGATCCAAGTTACGTCATTACGTCAACACAGGGTTCTTGACTTTTTTTTATTGTTTGCTTGGAAAAAAATTAACCTAAACTCCCTAAAATCTGCTTTAACTTAAATGGGAGAATACAAACGTTAGTTACCACCACGGGTTATTCGAAGAAAGAAGAAGAAATATATTTAAAATTTTAAAGATTTCGTTTATATTGTCTGTTGCCTGAGAGAATATTTATAAGCCGAATGGTCCATTCGGTCCCAATAATTTAAAAATGGCCTGAAAATATCTTCTATCTTCCGTATGTATATCCCAAAACAGAAAAAAAAATCGTAATATGGCACATTTTAACTGCCGATTGGTCAGAGAAAACGTTATCTTTAGCGGCAGCTAGCATTAGCCCACTATAAACGTGCTAAACTGAAAATCGTCAGTATCTTTTAAGATGTGCAGATTTTACAGACGAATCTCAAATGAAGCAATCTCCCACCTTCTCTTCCAGACATGGTTACAGCTTGTTATAAAATTTAAAGGAAAGGAAAGTTTGCTGCGAAGACAACTGGTACTTCTTGCTAATCCGCGCTGTTAGGTCCCCGTTGAACCGGAAATAGAATGACCGCTTGTTGCCTGTCTCAAAGAAAATTCTTGACATCAATATGCTAAAATGCTGTTACCCTAAAGAAACGTAATTCGTGTCTTATGCGTCCGCTGACATAATTGAAGAAAACGGGTATGTTTACTCTGTTATATCGCTTTGTACATAACAGTATCACCAGAGTCCCAAAACAGTTTAAAACTTGTGAAAAGTCAGCTAGCCGGTAGCTACATG